TATAAAGAGAGAATAAACTTGGAGTTTAGGTTATTACAGGCCTTGATAGACCTGAACTCATCAATGTGAAATATAAAGTCTAAAATCCTTGCTCACTAGGTTGGTCTAGTCTCGTTAAACGAGACCGTAACGTTTTACCTCATTTAGTCTTATTTTCTAGATGGTATCAACAATCACCTAATCCTGAGCAGTATTGCCACCTCGATTGCTATCCACACGTTCATCTGTATTCACTAAAGCTATTGCAAAGACTTTGTAGGGGCATATATTCTTCAATGGAATGCTATCACCCAATTTCGCTTAAGGTGATGAAGGGCTGATTTACTGGTTGGTCTCGAAACCTCACTTATAGAGCACAAATATTTCCTTCTCGAAGGTATAAAAACCAGGATGGTGTGACCGTTTGTATGGTCTCGCTCTCTTTTCGTGGTATAGATATTGATTAACCTTGTTGACGAAACTTGGTCATGTTGGTAGAAAGACCTACAGGAATTCATCTAGTCCGGAGTCCATACTATACATGAACATTTCCGGAGTCGGACCGTGGACTTGGTATCTTCCAGACGTTCTACTGGCATCGTAGTCGGCATCACCAGTGAGTCTTGCCATTCTCAGCACCAAGTTACAACTCGTCAAAGAGAGAAGTGAAGTCAATCTCTTGACAAACTTTCTGTCGAAATGAATGAGTTATCATTCCGAAGAAAAAAACGGCATACGAAGGAAGGAACATCAAAGGTTTAGCCGGAAAATGGAAATTGTATGATCAGATATGTCGGAACACATCGCAGAGACTGGACGCGAGATCAATTGGAATGCAGCAAAAAAAAGCGCTTCCTCATTCAATAAAAGCACAAAGAAACGGAATGATACGGAAGTCATTGACATCCTTGGGCGAAAAATAGCATGAACAGGAGATTGAAAAAAATCAGAGTCAGTGATACATTTGCCTATTGCCTAATCAAACTTGGAGAAGACAGGGATGCAACAAGACAAGCAAAATGGAGACGCCAGGATCAGGGATGTATCATAAACCAGAGGAAAAGGGATCGCAAGGAAGAAGAGGCTAAAGATGTCTCGGAAATGAAGCGAAGACGTTTACATTGAGAGTAGTCAGCTCGAATGGGCAATTACAATTTGGGGGCCCGAAGTTTGAGGTGCCTAGAGAGAGGGATTGGGTCACAGAAATCGGGCATTGTGACCAAATGTGGTGATGAGATGCAGCAGGCGACCAGAGGTAGATGTCCACAGTTTGCTCAAGGTACATGTTTTTAATGAAGGAGATGATGCGTGAGGGTAATGCCTAATCTCCGCAGACATGGGAATCAGAGCCTAGGGGCTATGAAGATGAGACGACTTTGTACGTGCTAATGAATGCTTGAGAAATAGCACTTGGAGTAAAAGTTGGCTGGGTCTGGTACCGAGTGGAATCGGCGAACCAGAAAGATGAGGAAGATGCGGACAGGAGACTAGATCATGATCAGCCACTCGAAGGGAAGGGGAGTACGGCAAAAAGCAGGTGCGATGACGCAACAGCACATCTCTTGTGGAATATAAACATGTCAGCAGTTGTGACAAAACGAGGCAGAGGCTAGAAGGTAGGAAATGGATAGAGGGACCTGGACAAAATGAAGAGTGATAGCTTAACTGTCTCGACAGAAAGTTGGTCAGGGCATTGATTTCATTTGTCTCTTTGACGACTTGCAGCTTGGTTGCTGAGACTGACACGACTCTCCGATAATGCCGACTACGATGCCGGCGAAACGTCTGGGTATGTACCACATCCACGGTCCGACTTTGGAAATGATCATGCAGGCAATGGACTCTGGAAAAGGTACGTTCCTCTAGGTCTACCTGTCAATATGGGCAATTTGTGAAACCAAGGTCAAATAATTGAAGGCATGAAGACCAAGATGGTGTGGCCTTTTGTGTGGTCGCAGTCTCCTTTCGTTGTATACAAGTTGTCTGACCTTGTTTTCGCAACATGATCATGTTGGTAGGAAGACTTAGAGGAACGCACCGAATCCGGAGTCCATTGTCTGCATGATCATTTCCAAAGTTGGATCGCGGACTTGGTACATTCTCAAACGTTTCGTCAGCATCGTAGTCGGCATCGTCAGTGAGTATCGCCATTCTTGAATGGTTTTCATGAATGCCACTCAAAGAAGCACACCAGACTACATACAAATAGGCACCTTAACAATTGTAACAGTGAAGGTGTGATAGGAGGATAAAGGAAATGTGAATAGGCCAGGGCAGAAGGGGAGTACCACAACTGTTTAGCACACGGTTCGTCAAAGGATGGGCTTCACTTGTCTCCTTGACGAGTTGTTGTATGGTGCTAAGAATGGCGATACTCACTGACGATGCCGGC